ATGGATCACAGCCAGTGAGCCATGAGAAGAGAGGAGAGGTGGGGCCGAGCCAAGGCTCCGTGTGTGAATGGATCAAAGCCAGTGAGCCATGAGAAGAGAGAAGGTGGGGCCGAGCCAAGGCTTCGTGTGTGAATGGATCAAAGCCAGTGAGCCATGAGAAGAGAGAAGGTGGGGCCGAGCCAAGGCTCCGTGTGTGAATGGATCACAGCCAGTAAGCCATGAGAAGAGAGGAGGTGGGGCCAAGCCAAGGCTCCATGTGTGAATGGATCACAGCCAGTGAGCCATGAGAAGAGAGGAGGTGGGGCCGAGCCAAGGCTCCGTATGTGAATGGATCACAGCCAGTGAGCCATGAGAAGAGAGGAGGTGTGTGTGGCCGAGCCAAGGCTCCGTGTGTGAATGGACGCATGGAGCAGTGGGTGCTCCCATAGCAAGCTGCTTGCTGTGGGGGCACCCGACAGGAGAGCCTGAGGGGGACTGGAGAAGAGGAGGCTGCTCTGTGCAAAACCACTACACACAGCAGGTAAGTATAAAAAAAAAACAAAACCTTTAGAATCACTTCACGTTTCGTCAGGGACACCAACGTCCCAGACCCAACTGGCAAGAGCTTCCCACAGGAGCTTTTCGTTCCCTTTACCCCCACCCTCCTGGACTAGTGCCGGATAACCAAACAGGCAGAGTCCGCACCTGCCTATGGGCCCCATGCTGTTTAAGGGCCCTGTGAAATTAGATCAAAATGATATTGATTTGTTCTAGATGGAAAAATGGCAATGAAGCTTTCCTAATTTGTTTACAGAGATAGAAAAAATGTATCAACCCATAGAAATGAAAAATTTACACTGAGGACGTTATAAAGAAAATTCTGTATTAATGTCATGTAAAAGTTAAAGTACACAAATCATAGACATCAGGTTTACATTACAGTTTGTCTCATAAAAGTTCATCTTGAAACAATTTCCGTACGTGTAATGTATAGTAGTGATGGTCATCTCATCTTCACACTACTTTGTTCAATGTTATCCCACTAGAGCCCATGCATGATAAACCTCCATGAGCTCAAGGGCCCAAGGTTTCCACTACCTAGGGGCCTCCACAGAGTTCAATCTGGGACTGCCCTAGTCTCACTCCCCACCCTATTGCCTTTCTTACTTTCCTAGCCTCTTCTGTTCACCCGTTCTCTTCTTGGTCTGCTTCATATATCTGCTTCTTGTTGTACATTATACCTGAACTGGAACTGACCTGGATATTCCATTACCCCCACACCCAGGAGACATTACCTTCTCTTAAACCTTAGATACTGAAGACATTGGTTTATAATGAACTACTGGCACATGAACTGTAATGGTATATTAGTCTTAGTCCGTAGGGTTCAATATTGAGTTGGCCCCCGCCCTTTGCGCCTATAACAGCTTCAACTCTTCTGGGAAGGCCGTCCACAAGGTTTAGGAGGGTGTCTATGGAAAGGTTTGACCATTCTTCCAGAAGCACATCTCTGTGAGTTCAGGCACTGATGTCAGACCAGAAGGATTGGCTCGCAGTCTAATTCATCCAAAGGTGTTCTATGGAGTTGAGGTCAGGACTCTTTGCAGGCCAATCAAGTTCTTCCACCCCAAACTGGCTCCTCCATGTCTTTATGAACCTTGCCTCATGCACTGCTGTGCAGTCATGTAAAAAAGGAAGGGGCCATCCTGGAATGTTTACCATTGGCAGCATACCCAAAATTCTTGCCCACACCAAAACTAACCCCCCCCCCCCCCCCCCCCCCCCCCCCCCCCCCCCCCCCCCCACCCCCCCACCCCCCCCCCCCCCCCCCCCCCCCCCCCCCCAACCCCCCCCCCCCCCCCCCCCCCCCCCCCCCCCCCCCAACCCCCCAAAACCCCCCCCCCCCCCCACCCACACCCCCCCCCCCCCCCCCCCCCCCAAACCAACCCCCCCCCCCCCCCCCCACCCCCCCCCCCCCCCCCCCCCCCCCCCCCCCCCCCCCCCCCAAAACCAACCCCCCCCCCCCCCCCCCCAACCACCACACCCCCCACCCCCCCCCCCCAAACAACCAAACACCCCCCCCCACCCCCAACCCCAACCCCACCCCAAAACAAAAAAATTCACAAAACACCCCCCCAAACAAACCACCCAAAAAAAAAAAAAAAAAAAAAAAAAAAACCCCAAATCCCCCAACCCCCCCCCCACACAAAAAAAAAAAAAACAAACAAATTAAAAACAAAAAACAACAAAAAAAAAAATGAAAAACAAATGGAAAAAAAACAAAAATATAAAACAACCCCAAAACAACCATGCAACCAAAAAAAAAAGAAAAAAAAAATCTATTAAAAAAATAAATTTTAAAAAAAAAAAACTCTAAAAAAAAAAACCAACTAAAAATGCGTGAACTGACCATAAATAAAAAAAAACCAAACTTTACATTTTGCTCAATGGCAATAATACCGTTCTAACCAACTACCAAACCCAGAAACGTCCATCGGATTGCCAAACAGAGAAGCGTGATTGGTCACTCCAGAGAAAACATCTCCACTGCTCTAGAGTCCAGTGGCAGCGTGCTTTACACCACGGCATCCGACACTTTGCATTGCACTTAGTGATGTAAGGCTTAGATGCAGCTGCTCAGTCATGGAAACCCATTCCATGAAGCTCTCTACGCACTGTTGTTGTGCTAATCTGAAGGCCACATCAAGTTTGGAGGTCTTTAGCTATTGACTCTACAGACAGTTGGTGAATTCTGCACTTCAGCATGCACTGACCCCGCTCTCATTTTATATGACCTACCACTTGGTGGCTGAGTTGCTGTTATTCCCAGTTGCTTCTACTTTATTGTAATCCCACTAACAGTTGAGCGTGGGAATATTTAGTAGTAAGGGAATTTCACGGATGGACTTATTGCACAGGTGGCAACCTATCACGGTACCCGAGCTTGGATCCACTGAGCTCCTGAGAGCGACCCATTCTTTCACAAATGTTTGTAGAAGCAGTCTGCATGCTTAGATGCTTGATTTTATACACCTGTGTCCATGGAGGGGATTGGAACACCTGAATGCTTTGGAGGGCAGGCCCAATACTTTTGGCAATATAGTGTATCACAGATATAAAAAAAATCGTACAAAAATATAAACAATATTAATGCTGTTCGAGTACATATGTATTTTCCATAGATCTATATATCACATATTCTCTAGTACAGCTTTTCCCAACCTTTTTAATATGGAGGAACTCTTGGGATAATGTACCAGGCTTAGGGAACCCCTGCTGATACTTACTTTAGCTACAGCTCACTATACATTAGTGTGATGGTCAGTGGGAAGAATGTCTCTTATACTGGTGGTCAGTGGAAGGAATGCTTCTTACATTGATAGTCAGTGGGAAGAATGCTCCTTACGTTGGTGTTCAGTGGAAAGAATGCTCCATACATTGATGGTTAGTGGGAAGAATGCTGCTTATACTGATGGCCACTGAAAAGAAGGTTCCTTACGCTGGTGGTCAGTGGGAAGAAAGCTCCTTACATTGGTGGTTACTGAGAAGAATGCTCCTTACATTGGTGGTTACTGAGAAGAAAGCTCCGTACATTTGGTGGTTACTGAGAAGAATGCTCCTTACATTGGTGGTTACTGAGAAGAATGCTCCTTACATTGGTGCCCACTGAAAGAATGTTCCTTACGTTGGTAATCGGTGGGATGAATGTTCCTTACACTGGTGTTCATTGGGAAGAAACCCCCTTACAGATAGCGAAAACGATTATTGTTGCAGTGCTTACTCATCTGAGACGCAGTTGCACAATGCTTAAGGACTACCAAGCAACCCCAGAATGAACCCTAAATTCCATAGAACCCTGATTGAGAAAGGCTGCTCTAGTATATTATTCCCAAACATCAACCTTAATTTGCCTAGAACTACACAAAAGAGAACCTATTGACATAGAGTCACATCCATGTAATGGGATTTGTTCTTGATCCAGCAGCTACTATATGGAGGGTGCTCTTCTCCGGAAGGGACAAATACCTACCCAGCAGACAATGGTGAAAGTGTAATGAATTTAATTGTATACATAGACCATAGATCATCAAGTTGGGGCAGCTGCCTAATTTGTATTTAAATAGAGGTCATCTACAGTATGTACAATCCACCATATCAGATTTCAGGATCTTTGCTACAAGTAAGTACACGTCTTGTTTGTTGTCAATCTTTTGAGAATTACAATATAGAATTTTATTTTTAAAAAGGTTATCATACCTAATGAATGTGTGGATGCATTCGGTCCTTGGTCCTTATCTACCTTGTCTGACGTTCAGATGAAAAGCTTAGCAAGAACTACTAGATAGATCCTCTGTCGCGAAGAGTAAATCAGTAGATGACTGCCCTTAAAAACTAACATTTAACAGTGAAAATCAGTGTTCATGTCCCATGACTCTTTCTCTTCCTGTCCAGTGACATCTGTTCATATGTTCACCATTCTGGTGGCAGTTTTTCCATTTAAGGAGAAGTTGCGATTTCGTCAGAAAACCGAAGGAAGTGTCTATTACTACATAGATGCTTCTGATCAAAAATAAGCAGGAAGATTATCTATAGCCTTGCACTCTGAATCTCTTAGGATTGCCAGGACCTGTTCATTGATTCTTTTCGTGACTCTGTTTTGGTATCAGTGGGCAAATGCAGGGTTGCTGATAGAGGGGCACAGGCAACCCTCCTGTACCAGGCCCAGGCCTCATATGTTCAGCAGGAGGGCCTAGGCTTGGCAGGGGTTGTCCACATAGAGTACCCCCAACAGAACACTTTTGTCCCTTCAGCAGCATTGGCCTAATAATCTAGTCCGGGTTGAGCATTGATCACTTACAGTAGTCTGTATGGTTTCTCTGGAAAACCTAGTGCCAAGATACCATCATTTTGTGCTATAAAGGTTTTTCCTTAATTTAACTTTTCATCCATTGAGTTTTGGCCTATGGGACCTTGGGTAAACCTGTTGGGGAACACATTCAATCATTGGCCTTAGTCTACAGCAGGGGCGGACTGACCATTTGGAAACTCGGGCACTGCCCGAGGGCCCGGGGTCAGTAGGGGGCCCCATGAGATGCCTCTGGTACCTTTTTCATAGGCTTTTTTGAGTTTGGGCAAGGACACAGAGGCCCCATGATCCCCTATTGCCCGGGGGCCCCATGAGTTGTCAGTCCGCCCCTGGTCTACAGTATAACCTTTCTAAGTGCCTACCCACCTGCTGTCCTGGTGATGAGTGAATGCGAACTTCTCCAACCTCTCTTTCATTGACATGTGGAAAAATATCCAGTTTCCAAGAACACTTGTGCTTTTAAAAGGGAAACCACTCCAGTCCATACGTTAGTTATTGGGTAGAGCTGTAGACATGAGCTGATTCAGAATATTTTATTAATCCCAAAGGGAAATTCTAAGAATACAGTTACATTCAACGCTGACAACACAAAACCAAGATACAAGATTTATTTGGTATCAAAACAAAATTAAAAATACTATACTCTAATATTTCATACGACCCTATTAGAATACTACATAGAATAAATAACAAAGTGAAAAATAACACCAAATGCAAATATCACACCACTTTCTCTAGATTTACTCAAAACTCATATGTAGCACCCTCTAGGGATGCTAGAGAAGTAAATTTAGTGTGGCTCACAGTAGTGAAGTGAGCAAGTCTGTTTGGGTTTTACATAGGTACTTAGGTTACTTAAGTCAGGCTGGTGGGCTCTACAGGTCAGCCCTCTGTGTACCTCCCCCCTGGTTCTTGAGTCTTTCAGAATATTCTAGAAGCTAGTGGGTGGAGGGGTGGAGACCAAATCTGCATATTCATGGGAGTCTGCCAATCCCAGGCAGGAGACCTGGCATTGTGGTAGATGGGCCCATAAATATGAGGAGCGCGTAGCCAGCAGGGGAGTCTGGTGATTGGGTGGAAGAGAATCATGAAGCCTGGGAGGGGACCCTGGGAAAGGGCTCTGCCTCCAGGCTGGAGCTGAGATGGGAAGAAAGGAGAAGTTAGATAGAGGGACTGCACTACAAGTCATAAATACATATTTGCCATATGTACAGTATCGGGACCGGGCTCCTGGAATTGACACTCAGCATTTGCAGGGAAGGGCATTTGATGGCTCTCTGTAGTGGGTTTCTCTTGAGATATTCTTCAAAGCATTTCATTTATCTAGGTCATGCTATACACATGTTAGTCTGGATGAAAAAAAGACAAAAATCCATCCAGTTCAACCATAAAAAAAAAGTTATAATCCTACACCCACAGTTGATCCAGAGGAAGGCAAAAAAACCCAGCAAAGCATGATCCAGTTGTCTCCTGCTGGGAAAAAAATTCCTCCCTGATCCCCCAAGAGCAATCAGATATTCCCTGGATCAACTTTACCTATAAATGTTACTATCCAGGTATATTCTCTATATCTAAGAAAGAATCTAGGCCTTTTTTGACTCAATCCACTGAGCTGGCCAGAACCAACTCCTGCAGGAGTCTATTCTACATTTTTCACAGCTCTCACTGTGAAGAAACCTTTCCGTGTTTGGAGATTATATTTTTTTTCCTCCAGACGTAAAGAGCGCCCCCTTGTCCTCTGTAATGACCTCATGGTGAATAGCTCTTCACCGAGTTCACTATATGAACCACTGATGTATTTATACATAGAGATCATATCCCCCCCCCCCCCTTATGTATTACACATGGAGATCATATCCCCCCTTATGTATGTCTTATACATGGAGATCATATCCCCCTTATGTATTATACATGGAGATCATATCCTCCCTTATGTATTATACATGGTGATCATATCCCCCTCTTATGTATTATACATGGAGATCATATCCCCCCTTATGTATTATACATGGAGATCATATCCCCCCCCTTATGTATTATACATGGAGATCATATCCCCCTTCTTATGTATTATACATGGAGATCATATCCCCCCCCTTATGTATTATACATGGAGATCATATCCCCCTTATGTATTATACATGGAGATCATATCCCCCCTTATGTATTATACATGGAGATCATATCCCCCCTTATGTATTATACATGGAGATCATATCCCCTCCTTATGTATTATACATGGAGATCATATCCCCCCCCCTTATGTATTATACATGGAGATCATATCCCCCCTTATGTATTATACATGGAGATCATATCCCCCCCTTATGTATTATACATGGAGATCATATCCCCCCACTTATGTATTATACATGGAGATCATATCCCCCCTTATGTATTATACATGGAGATCATATCCCCCCTTATGTATTATACATGGAGATCATATCCCCCTTAATGTATTATATACATGGAGATCATATCCCCCCTTATGTATTATACATGGAGATCATATCCCCCCTTATGTATTTGATTTACATGGAGATCATATCCCCCCCTGGACCCCACCCCTTTATGTATTATACAGGGAGATCATATCCCCCCCTTATGTATTATACATGGAGATCATATCCCCCTTATGTATTATACATGGAGATCATATCCCCCCTTATGTATTATACATGGAGATCATATCCCCCCTGTTGTATTATACATGGAGATATATCCCCCTTATGTATTATACATGTAAGATCATATCCCCCTATGTATTATACATGGTGATCATATCCCCCTTATGTATTATACATGGAGATCATATCCCCCTTATGTATATTATACATGGAGATCATATCCCCCCTTATGTATTATACATGGAGATCATATCCCCCCTTATGTATTATACATGGTGAGATCATATCCCCCCTTATGTATTATACATGGAGATCATATCCCCCCCTTATATTATACATGGAGATCATATCCCCCCTATGTATTATACATGGAGATCATATCCCCCCCCCATGGAGATCATGGAGATCCCCCCCTTATGTATTATACATGGAGATCATATCCCCCCTTATGTATTATATACATGGAGATCACTATATCCCCCCCTTATGTATTATACATGGAGATCATATCCCCCCTTATGTATTATACATGGAGATCATATCCCCCCTTATGTATTATACATGGAGATCATATATCCCCCTTATGTATTATACATGGAGATCATATCCCCCCCCTTATGTATTATACATGGAGATCATATCCCCCTTATGTATTATACATGGAGATCATATCCCCCTTATGTATTATACATGGAGATCATATCCCCCCTTATGTATTATACATGGAGATCATATCCCCCTTATGTATTATAACATGGAGATCATATCCCCCCCCTTATGTATTATACATGGAGATCATATCCCCCCTTATGTATTATACATGGAGATCATATCCCCCCTTATGTATTATACATGGAGATCATATCCCCCCATGGAGATCATATCCCCCCTTATGTATTATACATGGAGATCATATCCCCCCTTATGTATTATACATGGAGATCATATCCCCTCCCCCTTATACATGGAGATCATATCCCCCCCTATGTATTATACATGGAGATCATATCCCCCCTTATGTATTATACATGGAGATCATATCCCCCCTTATGTATTATACATGGAGATCATATCCCCCCTTATGTATTATACATGGAGATCATATCCCCCCTTATGTATTTATACATGGAGATCATATCCCCCCTTATGTATTATACATGGAGATCATATCCCCCCTTATGTATTATACATGGAGATCATATCCCCCCTTATGTATTATACATGGAGATCATATCCCCCCTTATGTATTATACATGGTGATCATATCCCCCCTTATGTATTATACATGGAGATCATATCCCCCTATGTATTATACATGGAGATCATATCCCCCCTTATGTATTATACATGGAGATCATATCCCCCCTTATGTATTATACATGGAGATCATATCCCCCCTTATGTATTATACATGGAGATCATATCCCCCCTTATGTATTATACATGGAGATCATATCCCCCCTTATGTATTATACATGGTGATCATATCCCCCCTTATGTATTATACATGGAGATCATATCCCCCCTTATGTGTATTATACATGGAGATCATATCCCCCCTTATGTATTATACATGGAGATCATATCCCCCCTTATGTATTATACATGGAGATCATATCCCCCCCTTATGTATTATACATGGAGATCATATCCCCCCCTTATGTATTATACATGGAGATCATATCCCCCCTTATGTATTATACATGGAGATCATATCCCCCCTTATGTATTATACATGGAGATCATATCCCCCCCCTTATGTATTATACATGGAGATCATATCCCCCCCTTATGTATTATACATGGAGATCATATCCCCCCTTATGTATTATACATGGAGATCATATCCCCCTTATGTATTGTACATGGAGATCATATCCCCCCTTATGTATTATACATGGAGATCATATCCCCCCTATGTATTATATACATGGAGATCATATCCCCTCTTATGTATTATACATGGGATCATATCCCCCCCTTATGTATTATACATGGAGATCATATCCCCCCTTATGTATTATACATGGAGATCATATCCCCCCTTATGTATTTTTCATGGAGATCATATCCCCCCTTATGTATTATACATGGAGATCATATCCCCTCCTTATGCCTTCTCTGTACTTTCTCCAGTTCCCAAATGTTTTTTTTTTTCTGTGAATTGGAGCCCAAAACTGAACTGCATATTCCAGATGAGGTATAACTAATGATTTGTACTGGGGGAGGTGGGGGGGTTGATATTTCTCTATACCTCTTTTAATGCTAGAGAGGATTTTGATTGCTTTAGAACCTGCAGTTTGGCATTGCTGCCATTATTAAGTTTGTGATGTACCAGACCCCCCAGATCCTTTTCCACCATTGAACCCCCCAGATCCTTCTCCACCATTGAGCCCCCCAGATCCTTCTCTGCCATTCACCCCCCCCAATTGTCCCCCCCCTAGTTTGTATGATGCATGCATATTCTTAGTCCCAAGTGCAGAACGTTACATTTATCATCATTAATCCTCATTGGCCCCATAGTCCCCCAATTACACAGAGC